GCAGGGGCCAGGGATTCCCTAGGCCTCCCTTGCAGGATCCGCCCCCAGGGCCCATTGAGCGGACAATTCAGACTGGGCGTGATGGCACGCTATAATCCCAGCTCTAGGGAAGCTGTAAGGCAGATCACTACAAGTCCATCTATCTAGTACTGAGAACCTGAACACCCTGTAGACCCTTCCCCAAAATACAAAAAATACATATATTTTAGGGCCAGGTGTGGTGGGGCACACCTATAATTCCAACACCCACGAGGCTGAAGCAGGAAGATCACTGAGAGGCCTGCCCGGGCTACACAAAATAATATATTTTATTCTTTCAAAATTATAGTATTAGATTATAAATATTTCATAATTAAGTATCGGGCCAGGGAGATGGCTCAGTGGAATAAGCACTTCCCTAGCAAGCGCAAGGGCCTGAGTTCAATCCCTGGTTCCACCAAAAGAAACAAAAAACTCAAGCCCATAATCAATTAAGTTGATATGTGACCTCTAAATAGAAAAATAATATCTGCCCAGCACCCAGCCTACAGTAGACTTGCTCAGAAATTCAGTCATTTGAAATAAGTAGATGGGGCCAGCCAAATAGCTCAGAGGATTAAAGCGCCTATAAGCAGGCGCAGGGGCTGGGGTTCAATCCCCAGGCCTGCTGTTCTGACCCTGCCCCCACCCCCCAGAGTGCACTGAGAAAGCAACTGAGACTGGGTGTAGTGGGGTGCGCCTGTAATACCAGCTCTTGGGAAGCTGTAAACAGGCGGATCACTACGAGTCCGATCTAGTAGTGAGACCCTGTAGACCCTTCCCTAAAATACAAAAAAATTAAAAAATTAAATAACTAGATGACAAAAGATGACCCTTAAGTTATTAGCATTTGAGTAAAATCATTTATATACATACAACCACTCCCAAGATGACTGTAAACTGCATAAACTGCAAACATGCAGTAATACAATGTAAAATTTGTTTAAAAAGCATTCAAGGGGCTGGTGAGATGGCTCAGTGGTCTAAAGCACCTACTTAGAACAAGCTTAGCTAAAGCACAGGGACCGCGGTTCAATCCCCCAGCACCACATGCCAGCAAGCCCCGCCCCCTGGTGGGCTGAGCTGGCCACACACACACGCGTGCACACACACATAAATAGATAAAATTAAAAAATAAAAAAAATAAAAATAAAAATAAAAAGCATTCAAGTGCCGGCCAGATAGCTCAGCAGATTAAAGCAACTGCTTAGGCAGATGCATGGGCCAAGGGTTCAATCCCTGGACTCCCATGCCAGTCCTGCCCCCGGGGTATGCTGAGAAGGGGACAAACTGGGCGTGGTAGGGCATTCCTGTAATCCCAGTGCTTGGGAAGCTCTAAACAGGAGGTTCACTATGAGTCTGATTTGTGTTGTGAGATTACTAAAATACATTTAAAAAAAAAAAAAAAAAACTCTAGAGGCAGAACACAACGAACAAGAGTCAAGTTTTATCATTTATTTTACTGTATTTTTATTAATTATCTGTATTTTATAGCCATCTCTTTAAAAATGTTAAGCATACATATATATGATACACATAAATATTCATCTCTTTATGAATGTTAATGCTAAAACTTGGTGAATTGCAGATTTAAAAAAGGATACCAACAAGGAGTAGATTAAAACATACCTGGTTCATTATAGCCTTCTCTTAAATATTGAATAAGACAAAAAATAAATCTTGGGAGAACAAATTCAGACATCATCAGTAAGTCTTTAGGAACACAGGGGATATTTGAACTTGATTTAATTTGATGCCTTTTGCAAAACCTGCATGGAAAAAGAAGATTTTTAAAACGGAATCAATAGTGATATCCAACCAGCTGGGAATATAGTAGTTCTCCTCACAACATTCATAAACAAAATACACACTAGTATCAAAGAAAATATAATCCTTTACGATTTTCACAGCATTAAATAATAGTTTCAATGCACCTTTAATTTAAAAAAAGCACCAGGGAGATTTTTCCTAACAAAAAAATGTACTAACAAGCTTCCAACTAGAATACAAAAAGAAAATCTTATCATAAGATTTATATTTCTAACTACAACTTATTGTTTTCAAGTACTATGTTATTGCCTCTACCACTTGTAAACTGCTAACTACAACTTAATCATTTCCAAAGATTTATATTTTCCATTTCCATTTGTTTCTAGTATATTGCATTAACCTATAAATGCCTTTTTTTTTCTTTCCTTGTGGAACTGGTGACTGAACTCAGGCCCTTGCACTTGCCAGGGAAGCGCTTATTCTACCAAGCCATCTCCCCGGCCCCTCCTATAAATGAATTATACAAACACTCGAATTTTAAAGTTTTAGGGTTGGGGAAATAACTCAGCAGTCTAAGCACCTGCCTGGCAAGCCCAAGGACCCAGGCTGGATCCCCAGAACCTCATTCCATGCCAGCATGGTGGTACCCATCTGTAATCCAAGCTCTGAAAAGGCTGAGACAGGAGGATCATTACAAGTCCAAGCCGCAGTGTATATATTCCTTCTAATCTTTTTTTTTTTTGGGGGGGGGGGGTTGAGACAGAGTCTTACTATATAGTTCAGTCTGGCCTTGAACTATATAGCCCAGGCTAGCCTCAAACTCACAACAATTCTCCTGCCTCAGGTTCCTGAGTGCTGGGACTACAGTTGTCCACTACCACATCCAGCTACCTCTTTCACACTCATTTGAAAGTATATATATTTATATATTGCACATTCTCTGAAATAAAAGCTAAGAATTTTTAAACAGAAAATATCCATAATTTCAAAAAATAAATACTGAACTACGTCAGGATGAAATAATATAAAAGTAGGGATTTGCTTTAAATACTTTATTGAAAGAAAAAAGGGCAATTAAAGCAGAGAAGACAAAATATTGATCAAATGTACAGTACGAGTAATGGGCATTAAATCAATGTTGTATTGTCTTTACCTCTGTACATGTTTGAAATCTTTTATAAACGTAAGGTTGTCTTTTATCTTGCAGATTAAGATTTACTAATTCACCAATGAAAAGCATGTTAATCATAAACATGGAAGTATAACCCAATTTGGTAAGTGTTTGGCAAAATTTCTTACAAAAAAAAAAAAAAAAAAAAAAAATTTTTCAGACAGGTTCTCATTATGTAGTTCACACTGGACTTGAACTCACTGTGTAGCCCAGGCTGACCTCAAACTTGCACTAATCCTCCTGCCTCAGCCTCCCAAGTGACAGAATTACTGGCATGTACCACTATGCCCAGCTATTTCTTAAAAATTTTAATGTTATCTCAGTTACTCTTCTCTCGTTGCTGGGACAAAATACCCAACACCCAAAATTAAGGAAGGAAACATTTATCTAGCTCACAGTTAGTGGAGGTTTCAGTCCATACTCAGCTGACACTAAGGCAGAGTGGCACACAGCAGAGGGCAGCAATTCATGGTGGTGGAAAACAGCAAACAGCAAAGAGAGGAGCAGCAGCTGCAGCCTCTCTCCTTTTCTTATACCGTATTCAGGCTAACAGCTCCATGGCAGGTATAGCACTCACACACATAAAACCAGTATGGGATCATGAATTAATGACAAACTCTAGAAAGCGCCCCATGACTGCATGAGGCCTTAAGAGGGACACCTAGACAAAAATCATAATATTTTGCCCCTGCCTCTCAGACGATTCATGTAAAAGGCATTTTAGTCCATCTCTAAGAGTTGTCAAAGTCCTAACAGTTTCAGCATTGCTGAAAAGTCCAATTCCTGAGTCTCCTCCAACATTTAAGGCAAACTTAGCTGCGAGCCCTGTACAAATGAAAAGTTAACTTCAACATTCAATGGCACATGGGGCCAGGGAGATGGCTCAGTAGAATCAGTAGAATAAGCATTGGCCTGGCAAGTGCACAGGGCCTGAGTTCAATCCCCAGTTGCGCAAAAAAAAAAAAAAAATCCCTCATTCCATTAAAAAAAAAATTCAATGGCACAAAATAAACATTACCATTCCAAAAGGTACAAACAGAGGGATACAATACATTGTGACTAAAGCATGTCCAAAATCTAAAAGGACAAACGTTAAGTCCTGTTGTTCCATGTGAAACATCAAGGCAATCTGTGGCAAACTGTGAGCTCTATGTGGCTCCATCTCTATGGCATATTTGGTGGTAGCTCCGAGGGCTTCTCTCTTTGGTGTGTTTTGCTCCCTCCTTGCAACTTTCCTTAGGTGATCCACGTCCCTGGCTTTTCAAAACTTCTGGGATTTCTACTGCACATTCGGGTTCTCACAGCTTCACACACCACTCTTGTCGGGGCACACTGCCTGGCCTCCCAGGCCTTCTGAAATCTAGGCGGAAGCCTTCTTAAACCTCAGAACTCTTGCATTCTACAAGCACCTAAAACCAATTCCACATGGATGATGCCAAAGTCTGCTGTCAGGTGGTGCAGTAGCCAGATTTTCTTCTCTTTTGGCTGGGGTTGAGTGCCTGGATATCTGATCTCACTGACCCTGATTCTAAAGAACAAATTCTCTATGCCACAGCCATTCTGGAACCTGGTGTTCTGTGGCTTCCTTCTCAAAACAAAGTTTTTCACCGTTTTTTGTTGTTGTTGTTTTGTTTGGGTTTTTGTTGTTGTTGTTGTTTTTGTTTTTTGCGGTACCGGGGACTGAACTCAGGACCTTGCACTTGCCAGGCAAGCACTTATTCTACTGAGCTATCTCCCCGCACTTAAGTCTTTCACTTTTGCTGGTTTAGGCTGTAAAGTGTGGAGACCTGCTGCTTCTTGCAATGCCCTCAGGCCATCTTTTCTATTCTCCTATTCCTTCTGGGCAAAGGAGATCTTCTCAGCACTATCTTTGCAGTACACAACTTTATTGGACCTTCCTTTCTGGCCAAACTCCCAGCATTTTAAATCATCCTGTTGTGTTCTTTGGTCCTGATTCCCAGCATAAATCTGACTAAAAGCTCCCGAACAATAGTTGTGCCACTGCCTCAACATTCGGTTGCCTTGAAATTTCTTTTACAAGATTAATCAGTCCACCATGCTTAATCTCAGTCTCAGGCAAAGTCTTTCGACATGAGCAAAATGCAGATCAACTTTCTGTCAAGCCATAACACACATCACCTAGAGTCCAACAACCAACGATGCACTCCTTCCTACAAGAAACCTCCCCAGCCTGGTCTTTACAGGCCGGATTTCTATCAGCATTCTGGTCTTCTGAGTTCTGACCAGAATCTCCCATACAAAACAGCCAAAGGCATTCCAGTGCTATTCATTCAGGCAACATCTCTGAACCTTTCCCATCTCTTCCCATAAGCCATTCCCCAAGGCTCTTGAAAGACACAGTCAGGTATACTCACAGCAACAACCCCATTTCTTGGTACCAAATTCTGTCTCAATGCTGGAACAAAATATGCAACATCCAAAGTTAAGGAAGGAAAGGTTTATTTAGCTCACAGTTTGTGGAGGCTTCAGTCCATACTCCACTGGCTCCAAGGCAGTGTGGCACATGGCAGAGGGCAGGAGTTCACAGCAACAGAAAACAGTATGACAACAAGAGCAAAAAGGAACAAGCAGTGGCAGCAGAATAGCAGAGACTGAGCAAGCCTCTCTCCTTTCCTTATTTTGCATTCAGGCTATCAACCACTAACACCCCTAAGCCCAGCAGCACCCACACTCATAATCTCAGCATTAGACCATGAATTAATAACAAACTCTAGAAACAATCCCATGACTACATGAGGTTTTAGGGGGACAACTAGCCACAAACAATAACAAATGGTTACTGCTGGTCCCAGTGTCATAAGCCTATAATCCTAGCACTCTGGGAAGCTGAGACAAGAAAATCAAAACTTCAGGCCCAATCTAGGCAATTTAGCAACTAAGATCACATCTCAAAATTCAAAAATTGTTGAGCTTTTGGCGCACACCTGTAATTCCAGCACTTGAGAGGCTGAGGCACAAGGACTGCAGCAGGTCTAAAGGTCTGACAAGAGCCTGGCTACAGTCAGTTCAAGGCAAGCCTGAATTACAGTGAGACCCTGTCTTAAAAAGAAAAACTAAATCAAAAATTAAAAAAAACCAAAATTTAAAAATATTTAAAATTTTTAAATTTTTAAAATTTTAATATTTGTAACACTAACTTTTTTATTTCTAGGAATTTACTATATAGAAATACTTCTAAATTCACAAAAAGCATAATTACAAAAAGATGGTTATTATATCACAGCTTTCAATGCATGGAAGTTAAAAGTAATTCACAAATTCATGGATTAAAAAATAAAAATTTTGGAGATTGGGGAGATGGCTCAGTAGAATAAGTGCTTCCCTGGCAAGTGCAAGGGCCTGAGTTCAATCCCTGGTTCTGGGGAAAAAAAAAAAGAAAGAAAAATAAAAACCACCAAGAAAAATGAAAATTTTAAAAATGCAAAAATTAAAGGAGATACATAAATATGTTTGTATTTGCCAGGCAGGTGCTCAAGCTACTGAGCTATCTCTCTAGCCCCTATGTTTGTATTTGTTAAAAAAAAAAAAAAAGATCTATAACCATAGAAGTATCTAAGACAAAGAGAAAAAGAGTTCTACAGCAGTATATGAATTATAACTTCTAAAAAGATACTAAGACAGAGAAGTCTACCCATAATGATTAAATCTTACATAATAAATACATGAATAACTTTAACTGCTAGGGAAAAAAAGTTATGCTATATATGTTGCTTCAGTTTCAATTTAAAAGCATTAATTTTTACCCTTTTCTTGGTTCATAAACTTTTTTGGGAATTAAAGGGACATTGTAATTTCTTAACAAAAAAT